AACATACTCATACAATGGAGCAAAAATCACAGGACCAGTATGAAATAAAATTAACCAAACCACTCTATATCGATGTATCTAGTTTTTTAATTTTATTTTGGTTATATATATACGGTTTTTGGCAGAACGTTTGTCGAGGGATTGACTTCAATTGTCTCTTTGACAAGTTGGTAGCTTGGTGTGGAGAATGGCAAAACTAACTGATGATGCCGGCTATGATGCCGGCGAAACGTTTGTGAATGTACCAAATTCACTGCCTGATGCTGTGACTCATGACAACTACTATGGCAGACGACTTCGGACTAGGTGCGTTCTACATAGTCGCCCTGACAACGAGACCAAGTTGCGGCAACGAGGTCAACCGACTTTTGCAAAATGAAAGTTTTCCGCTCAGAGTGGGGCGGTCAATTTTTTCGGCTTTGGTCGCACTCTCTTTTCTATTTAACTTTGCTGTTATAACGACTCTGTCTTCTTCTCTCGTTTCTTGAGCTGAATAGGTATATGTGATTTATACTACTTTGGTAATTGCCATCTTAGCTTTTCAGTTGGAGCATATCCTGCTTATTCTAACTCATACCGCCACATTGAATATGCGAAATGTTCATTTTGATCAACGATAACATGCTAGTCCTCTCTTGATAAGAAATGTTAATTTTACATGGGTTTGATGATACCTCATCTAGATAAAACTATCTCCATGGGCACACATGAAGGCTCAACATCCAGAAGGAGTAAATGCAAGGGAATTTCCAGTAAGCAATCTCATAATTCTGCCATTTAACGTTCTGAAAAGCTAGGCAATGAATGTAACAATATTGGTTAGTTTAAGTGATTGCCTTAGAGACAGGCTCATTGGCAGAGTATACCATGATTTTAGAGGAATGACTCCAACTAGTCTCCCGTACGAATAAATTAAGAATAGATCACCAAATAATTTCAAGCGAAATGGAAGAAGTAAGTCAAGTAGGATAAACTTCACATTAGATCTGGTACAAAAAATGATCAAATCAATCAACGATGTATTTAATTGGTCTGACTTTGGTTTTGCAACTTGTTCGTTATCTCAGTGAGACTTTGGAGGAGAAACTTAATGACGCGTTATTTTTTCGTCTATAATAATGTATTACTCCAGTATCTGATCCTTATCTGGGTATATTCCTTGTCTTTTTCTCTGGCATAGTAGTAGATGCCAGCCTCTGCACTTAACAGTAACTTGTCAGAGGCAAATTTAAAGATTAGGCAGATCTCTGATTATTTTTGGTTTTATAAGTAGGCTTTTGAGACTACCAATATATCTTGTATAATGACGGCATTAAACATATTTCGGGAATACAGCTCATGTAACAGCACTTTAACTAATATGAATCGACTTTCCATTTGGAAGGTAAAGTTGATTGGAAAGAATTGTTAAATTGGTCTCATCGGAAACCGAAGAAGGAATGCCTTGGAGAGAAGAGTGTTGAATTGTGCGAAGGAGTCCTAGGCTCACTGTCCTACGAACCCGATGAACCCATGACTAAAAATGAGCCTGGGATTTCTTGTCACTAAACGGTTTTCATTGCAAGGCATTCCTCCTTCTGCTTTCGGTGAGACCAATTCACGAATTGTCTAGCCAACTTTGTCTTCGAGATTAAAAGTAGGATGACATTAAATCACTAAGGAACTCTTCGAACCCCAACTTTTTTTCAAAGGTTTCTAATTATTCATGCTCATGAGGAAGATGGTTATCTATGGTTTAGTGACGTTCGAGACGATAAGTCAATTCATATTATAAATCAATAAGGCGGGTAATACAATACTAGGAGGATCAATTATCACTACATAAAATTTATTAATAAAAGGGGCAGCGTGTGACTATGCAATTCGATTTATTTCTTTATTTATACTTTGTCAGACTTTTACGACTCAGATTCTGCCTACTACTCCGAATCCTGACACCAAATTGAGTTATTTGTTTCGAGTCGACTTGAATCTTCTCGCCTGTATCTCAATGTATTTCGCCACCCTTGACTATCAACCCTACGAAGAGATTATCGCTTCGCCGCCCAACTTTCGGCTCAAAACACTCATTTTGCTTGGCGCCAAAGGAGTGGGTCGCAGGCATATAAAGAACTGTCTGATAACAAATCATCCAGACAAATTTGTTGCACCTATACCGCGTTAGTTAATAATGCATTTATTAATCTTACCTTCATATCTGAGGTTTTTTATGTTAGTACGAATGTTTACACTTGATAGTATACCAGCCTCACAAAATGTGTTACACAATGCTAGAGGTTGGAGGCCGCATGCCTATGATAGAGTAGATAAATTTTTAAATGTTCATTTCCTAGTAAGGCTCAATTATGCTTAAAAGATTTAGTTAATCTACGCCCCAGAACTTCACTTCTGTGAAGTTAACATCATCAAAGACAAACATTTATGTATGTATGTATGTATGTTCACTCGGTTCAAGTGATATGTCACTAAATACCTACGTCTAGTGGCTACAGCTCTTATTCAAGATCCATTGATAGTCTCGAAAACCTACAAATTCCAAACAGGTAATGTTGTCGACCATAATGGAAAGTGGTGTTTGCTTCATCTACAAACACTGAAGACAATGTGGCACGGAGAGGCCTAGATTGTCCTGAAATTTACATCTCTTATGTGACCCACTGACATCCGTAACATTATAGCATAGCGGCACAATTTAGAAAATAAAGCTACATTACCCGGGTTTAATTCTCTCTGGGGGTGTTGATGATACCCAGATGAGGTGAAGGAGAACTTTACCTTAGATAATATTCAGTTTAAGAAGGAAAAACTTAGTGAAATAAAATTTCGTCTAGAGGCCTATTCGTATAATTGTGGAAAGGTTATTTAGCAATCCTTCACCAACTTAAAATGAGCTTGGTCATCTGGCTTTGTCATATAGTCTATAGGGCATTTTCGAATCGCTAGTTCCATTTTTCAGAATAAGCTATAAAATATAATAGCAAATATTAGTTGACACTTTCCTATCTGGGTATTTCATGTCACCTGAGAGATGCACATAATTTAACGGGCCATGGGCAAGAATGATTATACTGTAGATACAAAGAATAATTGGGTTTCCATGACTATCCTGAGATAACATTGTTGGAGAGATTTTCATTTCGTATGAAAGTGCATGAAGGCCGAACTCGCTAGAAGAGGACGGCTGATTACCGTTGTACTGAAAATGTCTGGTTTTAATACGACGTTCAGGTTGACGCAATCCACGAGACATCCTCGCTCGTTTTTGGTGAAAACAAGCTGAGCTTTCTATGAGATGTATTTACTCCATTTTGTTTAAGGTGTTGAAGGACTGGTGGTAGAATTTTTCCACATGAATAGAGCTGACGTGTCCATTGAATTTCACTGATTTACTGGTAGTCGCGAGACTCTACTTATATACGAAAAATCGCAGATTTCGCCCATTATATTATGGACATCATCAGAACTGGAAATCACGTCAACACAGATCAAGAAGACTATACAGCTTTATTTTACCTCTTATATGGTTTCAATTAAGAAAAATAAAATTAATGTGCATAGATAGCTATGGAATGCTTTGGACAATTATCTTTCCTATTGGTTCTGCTAATTTTGTTTGACAGTGTGTCTGCGTGTATGTGTATATGTGTCAACTTCTATACACAATACCGGTCCTAAATCAAAGTGATAAAAAGGCTAATATCAGGCTCTAATCATCAAGGCTTAATGGAAACCAGTACAACTTTGGGGGCCTGGCATTCATGGAACTGGGGAGACGGATAAGCAAATCGTCACGGAAATTCGGCGTCATGGCCAAAATGCACTAGAAATCCGCTTGAGATGCCACATGCGAACAGAGATAGGCGTCCACCGTTTGCTCAGGTAACATGGGTTTAATTAAAGAGAGGACCCTTGAAAGGAAGGCCTGATATCTGCAAGCATGGGAATCAGAGCTTAGGTGCTCTGCTCAGTGAAGCTCAGTGCACGTGCTTCTATGGCCTTGAGAAATAGCGCATGGAGTGAAATGCACACTGGGATTGGAACCGAGTGAAATCGGTCAACCAGAAAGATAAGGAACGGATCTACGATACAATGAGGTGATCCGGTTTGGAGGCCCGAGTCAGATGGGCCGATTGAAAGAGAGGTCTGGGTGAATAGCAAGTGTGATGAGGCCACACTAGATTTGCCACAAAAGGGCACACATTTTGACGAGTCGGATATAAACAAGTGAGAAGTTGTGATAGGGCGGCAGTGGGATTAGAGGGTAAAGAGTAGATAGATAGGCCAGGACAGAAAGAGGACTGATAGTTTAGCCGATTTCGGATTGATTTCACTTGTCTCTTTGACGAGTTGGTAGCTTGGTGCGGAGAATGGCAAAACTCACTGATGATGCCGGCTATGATGCCGGCGAAACGTTTGTGAATGTACCAAGTTCACTGTCTGATGCTGGGACTCATGACAACTACCATGGCAGACGACTTCAGAGTAGGCGTGCTTTACTAAGTCACCCTAACAACATGACCAAGTTGCGACAACGAAGTCAACCCACTTCTGTCTGTCCTTAATCCCCTTAAGCGGCCTAGGGTGACTGGATCTCTTATTAAAACAAGTTTGCCAAATCTTTGCTTCGCCACAGTCTTCACTTATAGAGAAGCCCAATTACTTAGAAATCTTCAGCCACATTTAGCATTATAATATATATACAAACTCAACTATATTTACCAGCAAATGTCGGACTAATGAAAAATTTGACTAAAAAATTTAACAAATGTTTTCCCATATATTTATCGACGAGGCCTGTTCTTAATAAGATGTGTATACATTTAATCATCGATGAATCAACGAGGACTAAATTTTCGGCTGAATTTTACCACATCCTATCCTTAAAAAGTGCTCTCTTGCCTGCATACTCAACAGAATTCGGACTTTTTATACCTTTATCAATAGGCATAGGCAATATCAGGATAAGCTATTTTCGAGTGTTTTTTGGTATGTTCGATAAACGGTCATATCATAGAATTGCGTAAATACTGACAAATCATTATTAAATGTGGATTGATTTTATTGTGTCCTAAAGGCATCGAGGCAAGCTCTTCGATTTACTTACATTCTTTACCCTTAGATAATATATGTAAGTACTAAAATAATGGCCATATTGTTGCTATTCGAGTGAATAAATCTCCAATATGAAATATGCTTTCCTCTGTGTGGATTGGTAAGCGTGAATATATATATATATATAGAAGATAATTAAGTCATGTAATATTTTAATATAATGAGATCTTACAACAATAGAAGGGCGCTTTCTCGGAATATAATGAAAATATGTTAAGAGTACCTGATATTTGCATGCGTTTCTGAGTATTAAATTGGTGAGTGAGTATACAAGGGTCGCCTCAATTATTGTTTTCCCCTATTTACTGTAATTTATCGGACTTCTTTGTTGAATGGACTTTTATATCATGCTCAAGAGTGTGATAAAGAAATTCGTTGATCAATCTAGTCAGAAGACGATTGCAGGTTTCCCAGGCTCTGTATTTGCTTAATTTTACTGGCACATTCATGCTGACACTATTCATGACAGCCTCTTTCAGTTCCTTCGTCTGTTAAGCCACTTGATGAAAATTCACATAATACCTTCAAGATTGTGTATGCTGGAACAGACTGGCTTTTTCTGGAATAATGTATGTAATTATACATAGTTTAAACTCAAGAGGGCTAGGAAGAATTTTTTTTCGTTTCTTAAGTAGGTTTTCGAGACTACCAGTAGATCTGATATGAGAGCTGTATTCACCTTATTTCGTGTAAAGTGATGAAGGAGTGTTAGTTGAATTTTACCACAATGATTTGAATAAACCACATGTTTCCATTCAATTCCAGTCCTTCATAACCTTAAAAGAAACTGTTTGGATACAGCTCTTATGGGAAGATTTAATGGATTTATTGTCATGCCAATCTATAGATAAGTTTGCGTTGACGATCATGTTCCTGTGGGATAAAATCACTAGGGCTAGTTTTGAGTAATTAAAACAACATGGGCTTTGGATATCAGTTATAGAGGCCAATTTTGAGCCAGCAAAACGCAGCAGTGATTCAAAATACCGGTGGGTTATATGCATTTCTATTTCATGCTAGTTTTCTTCCAATGCTCAGCCACTTTTGAGTGCTGCTCCTGGCATACTTTCTGTATCTTTTTAGGAAAAAGGCAAAAAGGCAAATTTAGAACATATGTGAAGACACCAGCATATCTATCCTGTCCAAACTTCGAGAAGGTATGAAACAAGCTAAAGCATTATTTTTGAGTTATTAAAAGGCCATCCCAGCCGCAAAGGATTCCACTCTTTCTATTGTCTGCACTTCCCATAATGTTACCAATCACATATTGGAGAGACTTCCATTGTGCACTACATTGAACGAGCAACATCTGGTGAGTGTACGTGACCAGGCAGCTTTTGACGACCCTTGCCTCCTTATGAACCATCCATCCTTTTATATATGAGGTACATATTTAAAATAGTCCTTTTTACTTCAGAGTGACTAGTGTTCGGGCTAAACGTAGGCCTATGTACATGGTACAGTATTCTTGCACGTTGAAAGTGCACATTTGTTGCAGTATAGATAGTATAGGCTTGTCTACATCTATCTCGCGTGCATACTAAATAAGTAGGATTAACGACCCAGATACCTTGGAGAAAAAGAATTAATCCCCCTCTGAGCTCGTAATGAAGCAAGTTAAGCCTGACCTCATTCGATTAGCTTTATGGAATAAAA